TGGAAATATGGAAAAGGTAACCCTTCCAATTCCTAGTTGATATAGTTATTAATTGTGTATAAATACCAGAGTATGTGTGTTGAGGTTAATGTTAAATAGAGAATTCACAAAAAACCCTAGTCTCTAATTTGACAAGAGCTCCTGCAACAACGCAAGCAAGTTGAGAACAATGACACAACAAAAGATCACCATTCCGAACAGCCGCAACGAGAAGCTAGAAGGTATACTACATGAAACCGAGTCAAGAGAAATCATAGTCTTGTGCCATGGATTTCTATCGAGAAAAGAGTCCACAATTATCAAAAATTTGGCTACTGCTATAGAGAAAGAAGGGATCAGTGCTTTCCGTTTCGATTTCTCCGGTAATGGAATGAGTGAAGGAATTTTCTCTTATGGTAACTATAGCCATGAAACTGATGGTGATCTACGTTCTGTTATTCAACATTTGTCTAATAACATGAACCGTGTGGTTACTACTATTCTTGGGCATAGTAAAGGAGGTGATGTGGTCCTTCTCTATGCCTCAAAGTATCGCGATATCCGCAATGTAATCAATCTTTCGGGACGTTATGATATGAGAAAAGGCATAGTAGACCGTTTTGGGGAAGATGTTTTTGAAAGAATTGAGAAACAAGGATTCATAGATGCTAAGAATCATCAAAAGGGGAAACCAGGGTACAGGGTTACTAAAGAGGGTTTAATAGAGGGTTTAAACACTGATATGCATCAAGCTTGTCTCAAGATTGATAAAGAATGCAGAGTCTTGACGGTTCATGGAACCGAGGATAAGACAGTACCTGTGGAAGATGCCAAGGAGTTTGCGAAGATCATACCAAACCACAAGCTGGAAATTGTCGAAGGAGCAGGTCATAGTTTTTCCGAACATCAAGCTCTATTGATTTCAATAGTTATGAAGTTTGTAAAGACAGCAGTCGTGAAGAACCACTAGTCTCTTTCTTTCTTTGAGAACATTTGGTACTATCAATCCTACTCTTTGTTTGTGTGGTAAAAGTTTCTGGTACTAAATTCTAATCAGGGAACGTTTTATTTGAAGTAGCAAGCGCATAAGAAAAGCACAATGGAGTCCATTTATAACACCACACAAATAAAAATTTGACCTCACTTTTACACACAGGCAATCACAAACAAGACATGGAAACTCAATAAAAACATATACGGGAAGGAAAAGAACATGAGATTGCAATAAAAAATCGGTAAGAAAATCCTCAACTTTTGTCTACTGATGATCCAATAGCTCACCTTCTGCATCCTCGTCTTCGTCATACTCGCCTTCTTCATCTGCAGTTGCGTCTTGGTATTGCTGGTACTCGGAGACGAGATCATTCATGTTACTCTCAGCTTCAGTAAACTCCATCTCGTCCATTCCTTCACCTGTGTACCAATGCAAGAAAGCTTTCCTCCTGAACATAGCAGTGAACTGCTCGCTCACCCGCCTAAACATCTCTTGGATCGATGTGGAATTCCCAACAAAAGTCGATGCCATGGAGAGACCTCGAGGTGCGATGTCACAGACGCTTGACTTCACGTTGTTTGGTATCCATTCCACAAAGTAGGATGAGTTTTTGTTCTGCACGTTGATCATCTGCTCGTCCACTTCTTTTGTGCTCATTTTGCCACGGAACATGGCTGAGGCAGTTAAGTACCGGCCGTGACGCGGGTCTGCTGCGCACATCATGTTCTTTGAATCCCACATCTGTTGGGTGAGCTCAGGGACGGTGAGTGCGCGATACTGCTGGGAACCACGGGAAGTGAGAGGGGCGAAACCGACCATGAAAAAGTGGAGACGAGGGAAGGGGATGAGGTTCACTGCAAGCTTCCTCAGATCAGAGTTGAGCTGACCCGGGAACCTAAGACAGCATGTAACTCCACTCATGGTTGCAGAGATCAGATGATTCAGATCACCAACTGTTAAAGTAAAACCATTACCAATTTAGCAAACAGTCAAGACAGAAAGAATTGTAATTGGAGATCGGATCAAGGACGGATTAATATTACCAAACAACAAGATTCATGGTTGCCGAGATCAGTGATTTAATTTTCACAAACTGCAGAAAAGAAAAAGGACATGGAAGGGACTTACAGCTAGGAGTGGTAAGCTTAAGTGTTCTAAAACAGATGTCGTAAAGGGCTTCATTATCCAAAACCATACACTCATCAGCATTTTCGACCAGCTGATGAACTGAAAGTGTCGCATTGTATGGCTCAACCACTGTGTCCGAGACCTTTGGTGATGGGAATACAGAGAAAGTAAGCATCATTCGATCAGGATATTCTTCCCTGATCTTAGATATCAGCAGAGTTCCCATTCCAGAACCAGTGCCTCCACCAAGCGAGTGACATACTTGGAAACCTGAAAGTTTCATATATATCACTGTTAGAACAAAATGTTCAAAACCACAATTCAAAGGCCTTCAATGAGCTTTTCTTGAGTCTGAAAACAGAAAGGAAGAGTTTACATACCCTGAAGACAGTCACAATTCTCGGCCTCCTTGCGTACAACATCGAGCACCGCATCAATGAGCTCGGCTCCTTCAGTGTAGTGCCCTTTAGCCCAGTTGTTTCCAGCACCAGATTGCCCGAAAACAAAGTTGTCGGGTCTGAAGATCTGACCATAAGGTCCAGTTCTGACACTGTCCATAGTACCAGGCTCAAGATCCATGAGAATAGCACGGGGAACATATCTTCCGCACGATGCTTCGTTATAGTAAACATTAACACGCTCCAACTGCAGATCAGAGTCTCCAGTGTAACGACCAGTGGGATCAATCCCGTGCTCATCACATACAACTTCCCAGAATTTTGAACCTATCTGGTTCCCACATTGGCCACCTTGAATGTGAAGGATCTCTCTCATCTTCTATATATCTGAAAGCAAATGCACAAAACAAGAATCTCCATTAGAAATCAACATTACATCACAAATATGATGGCTAAAACAACCTGCATCAGATCCAAATCACAATTAGATCGAATTTCAATAACTAAATCTCAAGATCTGAGATCAAACAATCTGTATCAGATCCAAACAAATCAATCCAACAAAAACAACAAAACCAAGCAGGAGGTCTCTATAAACAAGCGGAAGATCACAGCAGGAAATCACAAGGTTCCAATAAGAGAGAAGAAAATCGGAAACACAACGCCACACAAAAAACTCCGATTTCAATTCTTCCCGGAGTTCCACAAATATGAAAACAGATCACGGAGAGATACAACTTCAAGTTATAATCAAAATCCAAGTTAGCACAAAACGAAACGAATATGAAAACAGATCAAGAGCAGATACAGATTCGGAAGAAGACGATTCAAATCAAAGCATTACAGTGAGTAGAAGAAGTTGTTTATCCCTTCGTTTCCCCTAGATTTCTCAACTTAAAAGAGTAAAGACAAAGAGTAACTCACGGTGAAGAAGAAAAACGCAGAGATTCTCGGCGAGATTTGAGACGATCTATAGAGAGTACACGACGGTGACTTGATCGGAGTGAGAGAGGAAGTGAGAGAGGTGAGTCCGAGTGAAGAAGGTGGATTTATTTATTGTGGAGTAAGAAGAGGGAAAGGTAATTTGATCCAACGGTTGAGATTAATTCAATCTCTGGGTAGCTAATTGCCGTTGGATGGTGAAATATCAACGTTGCGGATGATGGCGTTCGGTGAGATATTACTGTACTTGTTTTATAATTGGATTGTGATTGTCGGTTCTTCCTTCAATAATCACTCACAAATATATTATTTTATTTCTGTAATAATTGAAGTTATTGTAAACCAAAGTTCAAATTAATCAAAATCTGTAAAAATTCAAATATTATTGCAAACATCTATGAATGACTAAACTGAACAACTAAATAATTGCATGTTTGTAAAGATTCGTCTCTAGTTTGGACCAATAAACTAATTTTTACAAATTTCAAAGATCTCGACAACTACCAT